TCTGGTTAGAGACAGTCCAGTCTTTTTCTAGTTATCAGTGCTACTGTGTGAATCCAGTTGTGTGCATATGGGCACATCAGTTCTTGAGTCCAGGGCAAATACAATAGCTTATAAAAACTAGCTTCAAAGAGCTATAGGGAAATAGGGAAAAGCTCCATTGAGTATATGTCATAAAAGTTCTCATTAAGGGATGTCCTGCCATTAGAAGTCACAAAGGTTATAACAATTTTGCTTTTTAGGGACTACTCTTTATACTTTTTGCTCCTACTGCAGGAGGAAGATTGTGGGGCCAGTGAAAAGCCTAAGTGACATGAGAAGAGCTGATTTTGACATTGTGATGAGACTTTGCTTTCAGTTTTAAGATATTTAACAAATCCCTAACCTGAGTTACGACCAACACATCCAAAGTTCTTGAGCTGAGTTTATAACCAGCCAATAGGTCAGCTTATTGTTACCTTTAGTGTTCATAAAGCTTGATTAGTCATGGCATTAACCTTTTGCTCAAATTTATTTTGTTTAACTCAGACAGCATTGAGTCTGACCTATTGATGTATTAATGTGACCCTTATTTGATTTTCATGCTGAGTCTTTTATTAAGATCTTTTCAAACTTTCAGTACAATTAACATTTACATACATTGCATCTAATTGCCACTGCATTCATTTGCCTAAGTATATGGTAGGTACTGTTTCTTACAAGAAATCCTCCCCTTTCTTCTCCCACGGGGAGAAAACCCCAAAGGAGTTTGTATAACTGCAAAGAAAAATGTCTATCACTTGACTAATGACTGAAGATAATCTTACAGCTGCAGGTTTTGCCAGCTAGCATTACCCTCACAGCAGTCCCTAAGCCTGGTGGCATCGTGCAGAGCCTCTGAAATGTCACCAGTTCTGCTGTGTTCAGCCCTTTGGTGTCACTGAGACTGACACAAATACATTGCTTTAAGAGCATCAGAACTTCTTTAGTTGTAATTCCCTGCATCTGTGCCTTCTGCAAGGACAGCTTAGCCTTACTGGAGTTTCTAGATGTTGCTGTTTAGTCATAAAATCTTCCACATTTAGTCAGACATTGAAGGTGATCTGGCTCAAAGCTTGTGGAACTGCAGTCACAGCCTCAAAGGGAATTCCTGTAGGAGTAGGATACATGTCATGGGATTCTCTGCTGGAATGTGGGAAGATATCCCTGAAAGAAGTTAATTCTAAATGAGAGATTTGCCCACCCATTGTTTTAACATCTGTGAGACAATCATAGAATCATAGAATCAACCAGGTTGGAAAACACCTCCAAGATCATCGAGTCCAACCCTACCATGGTCACTAGCCCATGGCACTAAGTGCCACATCCAGTCTCAGCTTAAAAACCTCCAGGGATGGTGAATCCACCACCTCCCTGGGCAGCACATTCCAATGCCTGAGCACTCTCTCTGGAAAAAATCTCTTCCTAATCTCCAACCTAACCCTCCCCTGGCAGAGCTTGAGTCTGTGCCCTCTTGTCCTGCTGCTGTTGCCTGGGAGCAGAGACCAACCCCCACCTGACTCCAACCTCCTGTCAGGGAGTTGCAGAGGGTGAGAAGGTCTCCCCTGAGCCTCCTCTTCTCCAGGCTCTGTTCTCTGTTAATATTTCTTCTTTTTCACCCACTTATATTTTTAGCTACACCTGCATTTTGTGGAAGTAAATTCCAACATTATATGCTGAATAAAATCCCCTTCTTTTTATTTTGAACCCGTCATTTGGCAAGGTTACAGTGAAAGATTATTATCAATATTGTATCCTTTATAACACATGCTATAATAGAAAATGCAAGTGGAGCTTTTCAGGCAGAGATATGCAAAGTTGAATATCGAGATTCATCTCGGAAACCACTTCAGTTTCTTTCAGAAATGCTACATTTGTGTTGAGAATTAGTGGGTCAAGTGTTCATTTCTGTTTCTAAAATTACATGTAACAAAACAAATGTAATTGAGTTTTATTCAGTGAAAAATTAATTTTCGCTTTGTTCCTCACCAAAAAGAAGTTATTTCTGAGGCTGGGCATGCCCATTTCCTATGCATTGATTTTGATACTGAAGAATACAAATGAAGCATTTAATTTAAATGATGCTTCATCTGTTAATGGTACTTCTGCCAATTTTCAAAGCTAATGCTAGTGTTAATGAAACTCGATTTCTGAGCAATTAAACACCACATTTCATACTGGCAAAGTGATTAAATAGGATCTGTGTTGGGAAGCCCAATGTCAGGCTGCTTAGTGTGTTCTTCAGTCGAGATGCAGCTACAGAGTTTCCTAAGTGGAACCACGTTCAGTTGGGGGACAGAGTCCAGCAAGGATTACCACATCTCTCCCCCACAATATCCTTAAAATCCCAGCCAGTTTTCCTTATGTATTGGGAATGGCTCACAAAGTTGAGGCCATAATGAAGCAATAGCAAACTGTGCTCAGTACACTCTGCAGTGTCAGGAGCTGCTCTTTGCAGCTTAATTGCAGCATTTAAGAGCAGTGATACAACCAAGTTCTTTATTAAAAAAAAAACCAAAATTCAACTGCTCTGGGATCCATAGAAATGCTGTGAATCTGTCCTCCCATACGAATGTGCTTCAGCAATGCAGTCTCATTTCTTAGTACTCTAGTGGAATTGTTCATATAAAATTGCCTTCAATCATCCATCATACTTTACTCCATAATGTGGTAATGGGGAGAGGCCAAGGCAGGCTAATGAAATCATCTGTGCTGCTGAGGTGAGAAAGTCTCACAGAACTGCAGATAAGGGCACAGTTTTCAAGGGACATCCTGCAAACACAGGGGCAAGCCTCCTTAGCCAGGATCAAACTTTTTCAGTTGGAATTGAACATCACCCAAGAAAAAGGGGCTAGATATAATTAACTCATCATTCTTCTGGCTCTTCTCAAAAAAACAGCAGTAGGATTTTATTTTTTGTTCATTTAGAGGGTTGTTTTTTGCCTGATAAACTTTTACATTGAGATCAAACTGGCCATTGAGCATGGCCAGGATAAAAGTGACTAGCATTGCAGGAAGGAGCATTAAAGTAAGCAATAAACTGTGCTTTAGTGATAGAAGAAGAACTAGAAGAACTCTGACTTAATCCAGACTAACAGTGTAGATGTAGTGTGCTGGAAGGCACCTCCTGTCAAACCTGTCAGGCTTCTAACTGTGGAGACACAATGAGGAGACACAAACAAAGAATCCCATAGCACTAAAGGCATCGTCTCAGTGGTGCTTTTTTATTAACAATCTGATAACAAGGCATTAGTTACAAATGTTTAATATCAAAGTGACCTGTGTCAAAGGTGTAACCTGGAGATGTGAGGATTTAAAGACACCACCATCCCCCACAAATGAGGTACCAAGGCTATGCCAGCTCACCTGCTGTTCTGGGGGTGACACTGCTTGGGGTCAGGGACTTTGGGGGTGGCCCAGAGCCCTGGACCTGAACTGCTCCTTGGAGATTTTGGCTTTGAGATGTGCCAGTAATGGACACTTTGCCAGCTGCCAGCAGACTGAGAGAGGCAGGTTCTGTGCCTGCTGTGCCCTGGCCCTGCCCCTTCCCCTGACTCTTACTTGGCTCCCACTCTGGAGCCCCAAGAGGACCAGCAAAGCCCTACAGATGGGACTAAGATGTTGATGCAAATATGCTGGAGGGAACTTGAGCTGCAAAGGGGTACTTTTCCTCCCAAACTTTTGTTTAACAGATAGGAAAGTCAGGGAAGGTGGCATAGTGATCTGTAAGGTTTTTAATTTGTGGTTGCTATAGATTTCATGGGATTTCTTAACCAACAGCCTAGGAGTTACACTGCCTCAGCACCCTGAGCTTCTGCACAGTGCAGCCCCCAGGAGCAAACCATGGTTTATGGCTGGTTTTGCTGCTCTGTCACCTTAGCAAATGCAAAGTATACATGAACTGGCAGGCAAAAGCATCTCAAGTAACAAGTGTAGTCTGGGAAAACTTCATGACATAGCAGGAAAGGCAAGTTAGATTCTTCAGGAAAAGTCCACATGGATTTCAGATGATTTAGTAAAATTTTCTTTCTCTTTAGTACACTGCAGAATTCTGCATGTCCCATCATCACACCCCTGGAGCCAGAGTGCATTTGGGACTCTGTGGTGATAGGGAAAGTGACTCAAAGCCCTTGCAAACATCTATCTCATCATCCCTGCAATTCAAGGTGAGTGTCTCACACACTGATCTCAGAATAATGCTTTATTCCATTTTTGTTCTTTCATGCAGCAATTAGAAAAGATTTTTATTGTTAATGTCTGATTTATCTGAACCTCCAAACGTATGAGCCAGCAGATTTCTGAGGGCTCACACTATAGAGGAGGGAGCAGAACAGACTCCCATTACTGTTTCTGAAGGAATTTACAAAGCTGTCATTGCTGCTGTGTTGCAGTCAGTGTTTTTTGTTATATTATTACATCCATGTTGATGAAACACACAAAATGTTGTGACAAACATTTTCCAACTTTTATTCCAAGGCTGGGCCTTGGCTAAGAGGAGTTCTCCAGATGTATCAAACCAGATGTGTGTTCAGGGCCTGGTTTGGTCAGGGTGTAATGATGCCAGCCAGGAACCTGGCCCAGCAGCACCATGGTTAGAGTCTGCATGTCATAAGTCACAGAGGTGGCTGCACTCATCCCTGGGGCAGGGAATTCAATGCCCAAAGCCTAATGGATGCAGTGTGGCTTTGGGCAGCCTGGCACGTTGTTCCTCTCTTCCCCCTGCAGTGCAGTCCCCAAGTGAGCACTCAGAGTGCTCTGCTGAAAACTGATCAGTACAAAGATGGGAAAGTTTGTCACTGCAAGAGAGTCAGTATTTTTTCCCCACTGTGTGCTTCTAATTAATCCAACAGCATTTTCAAATAACTTAAGCAAGTGTTTTCTTACAGATTTAGAGAAAAGCAAAACATTAGCATATTTAGTTATTTTAGATAAGTGATTAAAAATCATCAGAAATTCAAGGCAGGAACACATAAAGTGGCAAAACGTTACACTACTCTGCCTCTAAATTCACTCATGACTTGAACAGGATGGATTCTCTTCTTTGCAGAACCTTTTCTGACAGCAGCATAGATTTCTTCTGGCTTCTCTCTTTTGATTAGAGGCTTCTTCTCTGGGGCCTTCATTCTCCACATCACAACTGGATGTCGTGGGCCAGTAGGGCTCTGAATCTTGATAATCTTTGTGGATGCAATATAGGACATCTTCACTGTCTGCACCACAGCATTCATTAAATTTTTGGCTGCCTGAATGAGCGAGGTGACACTGTCCAGCTGTAATAAAAAATGAGTATTAGCCTAGGAAGTCAGTGTGCCTTTAATCACAGACTGTGCAGGAATAAACAGTGGTTAAAAAATAAGCCTGTGATACTAAATCCTAATTTCCTGATTTTCCCTCAGTGGGTTTGATCATTGTATTTGTGTTCCCCTGCTCAGATTTAAAGTGATATACAGAAATTCATGCTGGTGCAATACATAAATGCTTTTGTAGATGATATATTAGTTGGTTTTACTCGTGTGAATTCATGGTGCTTGCTTGTCTGCAGGGTCTCATTGCAATTAGAACTGATGGGTAATTAAACCAACTCAAAAAAAGACCTATGAAAATGTGACCCATTGCTTCCCCTGTGTCAGCACCAGGCAAGGCCTCCAGCAGCTTCTGCCACATTCCAGGCTCCCACATGGGCTGGAGAGCAGTGCTGGGGCACTGAAGTGGTTGGCATTGCCAGAGCTGCTGAACTTCTCAGCAGCCAAGGTTTGCAAGGGCAATTAAGAGCAGGATAGCACAGAAATCACAGTGACTGTGTGGTCTCTCCAGCTGTTTAAGGATGCTGTTTGAGGCAGAAAGCAGAGCAATCTAATCTCTGTCACCTACCACCACCTTCAACAGCACTTGCATACAGGTGTGTTAGAGCAAAGGTATTTTCCATCAATACTCATGGGAATAGCAACACTGAGAGAGTTCACTGTAATTTGGATGTAAAACCAGTAGGATTACTCTATATAACTGGAGATCTTCCACCTTCCAAACATACCCTTTACTGAAATATTTGTCTTGTGGAAGAGCAATGAGGCCAGTTCTGCAAGAGCTCTGGGTTTAGTGGGAGTGTGATCTTGTGCTTAGCCATCCAGCCTAACCCCAGAGCCTCTGGCAACACTCAGATTTGCAAACTGAGTCAGTAGGAGAGGTTCAAGGGCTTCTCCCCTTTGCCAGGTGAGAGGAATGTGTTATGGTCTGTTTTCACTGCCAACGTGTAACACTTAGTGGTACATGCTGATTGTGTAACACAAATGCAAAAAAAGGCAGAACTGAAAAATGCAGCCAAGAGGCTGGATTTGCTTACCATTTGGAAAAATGTCTGAACTGGCAGAAAAACTCTCCAGTTAATGCGACACTTACTGCTTCTCTCTGGAAATGGCAAAAAATGCCCCAAACCCTTACTACTTCCACACTCCCCCACACCCCTCCCAAGATGAAATGTTTAGAGGCCTGGCTGAATGCACATACTTGTGTGATGGCAAACAGAAACTAACTATGCTCCAAGGAAAGGTGCACAATTTCCCAGGTGGCTGCTAAAGGTCACTTGTTGCTGCAGCATGTGAGCTCTAGAAGGCCTGCAGGTCTGGAGCAGCAGGAGCTGGTAGGTGTGTTTGGGGTTTGCAGGCTGGACTGGGGCAGCAGGCTACCCACCCACCCAGCTGGCTGAGCAGCACAGCACAGGGTCTGTGACTTGATTTAACGTGAAGTGCAAAGCACGTGGTGACCCCAAACATCTGACAAACTCTGCAGCTGTCAGGAAGGTTTCTGCTCAGAGGCTCTGTCATCACACTCCAGCTAACTTCAGTCCCCAGGTGCTTCCTTAGAAACAAAGGTGCTCAACTCAGTGGTAGATGAGCTGAGGTCCTCACTAGAGTCACACTGCTGAACACTCACTGTCACAATACATTTACTTGATGAGGAGGAGAGAGAGAAAGGTTCATATGAACATTTCTCTTTCTTGCTAACCAGAGGATTAATTAGACACACCTCTGAGTGCACACAGACCCCAAATTTTAATTATCTGTTCTTTTCTAGAACAGCTGACAACACCACAATCCTGACAGCTTCTTAAAAGCTTTGAATAATCTTCCCCTCCCTCCCCACAGTGGTCACTGCATACACACTCACTTTCCTAGCCCTCACTATATAGTAACACTGCTATAAGGCTGCTGGACCAAAAGAAACGAGTTTGGACTCTGTGGCAGGTGGTGTATGGCTTAAGACACAAGCTTTTTTTTTTTCCCCTGAAGTTTCTCAGTGACTTGTGTGTCTGTAATCCCCCCACCTTTTTGAAGTTGCCTGGAGTCAGAGGCACACAAGGAGGATGGGCAGCAAGCTGGCCTGAGCTGTGCAGTGACTGCTGCTCCAGGAGCATGGAAAAAAATCCAATCATCTGTTTGCAGGGAAAGGAAAAGGCTTCTGGAAGAAACTGGTAGCATCCAGGCAGGATAAAGGTCATCAGAAAACTTTAGCTGTTTTTTTTGTGGCATTAGTGTGTACTGTGAGACATGGATAATGAAGTGGGATACTTTCAGGGGCCTGTTAGAACTTACTTGGCCTTTCCCTCTCCTGTGGAAACCAAACAGTCACTCAGTTCCTCAGTCCACAGCAGCTTTGTCCCACCACTGTGATCAACAGAACTGTATTTTTATTTCTTAAACTATAATCATATATATCCACTATAACCAGTCAATGAATAAACTTCGTGGCTCTCTAATTTTGATGAGGTTACAACTGGAACCCAATGTGCCACAATGTTAGCCTCATAGTGTGACAGGAGTGCACATCTGCCACCTCCAGCACTTCAAATGCTGAACATCCAAAGAGCATCTCCCAAACCTAAATGTACAGCTAGACCAAACTGGAGTGGCTGAATTCTACTACCTCTTGCCATGCCAGAGCAACTGAGCTCTGCCCATACTCTAAGCTGTACAAAAAGATGCCCTGAGACACAACAGGCTTGCAAAAAGGGAGGTATTAACTGCATTCAGTATTTTGAGAAAGCTTTTAGAAGATGCTCTTGGACATGTACTACAGGTGTTAAGAATAAGACCATACATTTGATTTTATTTTTTTTAATCCAGAGAGCAGCAGTTTTTATATCTCAGTGCCAGCAACATAGATTTTGGTGATCATCTATTGTTCTTGTATAAAACTGATGTACTCAAGGACTGTCTTCACTTGGATGCATTTACCTCAGACATTCAGCAGGCTCTTCAAGGTCTCACATCCAGGAAAGCTGATGAAATGAGACTTGGCATAAATGAAAGACTGATAAAATATTCATTGAGCTTTTAAGTTCATTTCACTTGGAGAGATGTAGCTGCAAACTCTTCAATGCACAGCAAGTGGTACATAAAGATTCACTAGCAAAAGAAACAAACAAACCAACTCTAAAGTAAAAGCTGTTTTATTTTTCCCTGACTCCACTTTTGCTCTTTCAGCATTTTCCATGGAGATGCAGCATTCCAGCCTCCACGTTTTACAGGTCTGGCTGTGTCAGTTAAAACAGTAATGGATTGAAGGCTTTAGGAAAAACATCCCTTGCTATATCTTTCCTCATCTGTCCTGTCAGAAAAAAAATGAATGTTTAAACCTTACTTTCAATTTGTTTACACGTGTTGCATTTTTCTCACTTTTGTAAAATAATTTTCTGTCTCGGCAGTAGTAGCAATCCATTACTATAAAAAGTTAGACAGGGCACAGACTCAAGCTCTGCCAGGGGAGGGTTAGGTTGGCTATTAGGAAGAGATTTTTTTATGGAGAGAGTGCTCAGGCATTGGAATGTGCTGCCCAGGGAGGTGGTGGATTCCCCATCCCTGGAGGTTTTCAAGCTGAGACTGGATGTGGCACTTACTGCCATGGTCTAGTGACCACGGTAGGGTTGGACTCGATCTTGGAGGTCTTTTCCAACCCAGTTGATTCTATGATGTGGTCAGTTAGTTTTAATAGTCAGAATGATTAAGAGAATCTGAAGAAACTTTTGCTGTCAAAGGATTTCCTGTTCATTGCACAAAGCAATGCCTTGTCACAGGTCAACAGTTGTTGTCTCTGTCACAGTTACATTCCAAACTTCCTTACTCTCCAAGCATGGAGACAGGCCAGTGTTCTGCTCCATGCTCTGCTGTGTGTGCCACAAACCAGTGACAGACAACTGCCCTCTGGAACAAAGCTGCAAGGGACTGTGCAGCAGGACCTTCCCCAGACATTGGGTATGGATCATGCCAATCTGCTTGGGCCCTGGCTGGGAGACCCTGACTGCTCTGCTGTGAGCAGGAGCTAAGGTTCTGCTGCCTGAGAACAGACTCAGCAGCTGGCTGGTTACAATCTCCCAACCTGTATTTACAGTTCCCCCAGACTCTGGTTTCTTGTACAGGTGGAAGCTGAGAACTGAGTATCAAATACACAGTCCTTTTATCAGCATTTGAAGTCTGAACTTTCAATTCTTTTGGAAACAAGGTCAGTTATTAAAAATTAATCTTAATTGAACAACAACATTCCGAGAAGCAAATTTCCTTTTGTTACACTATGCTGAGAGACTATGACTTAATTTTTATTTCTTTGACAGCTACATTGAGCGTAACATGAATTCCACATTTCTGTGAAGAGCAGTGAGCACCTGAGCAAGAGCTGCATTCAAGGTAAGGAGCACTCACTGCATTGTGCTTTTCATTTTAGTCCTGCTTTTTTATTATGAGTAGCTATTTGCTGTTGTGAATTATTTTATGGTTGCTATGTAAAATAACACCATCGAATCCCTTCAGATTAAAAGTAGCAGAACAATCTAAACAGGCAAATTGCTAAGAGTGAAATCTTGACTGTTGAAGACATCAGCTTTACTTGGCCATGGACAGATTTTAACACTAGTTACCTGCCATGTTTTCTGAGCCACACTTTTTTCCCCTGTCAGAATAGGAACCCTTTCTTTTTAGTGACATTGGGGACCTTGGTGTGACAGTGACACCCCAAGATGGGTGTTCAAGAAAGCACAGGAAAGAGTTGCTGGAAAGAGAGAGTTGGAAGCACTTCATTACTTAACACCTTCCTTCTTACTACTGCCAGATATGATATATAAAATGTACCACAGATCCATTCCTGGTACAGGTTATATAGAAAATCAGCCAAAGGAGATTGGCTGATTGCCATCCATTGCCACAACCATTGCCATAACCACTGCAATTCTGGTTTTTCCTGCTGCTGGAAACTGTTCCCTCAGTGTTTCCCTCACCTCTGC